AACCCCCACATTTTCTAAACATGGACTGCTTACGACTGTAGGCTACAAACTTGGAAATGATGCTCCTGCTGCATATGCCCTCGAAGTAGGTATCTTGTTGATTCACACCAGTTGTGCCAATACTGATCAGCCTTTGATAAATAGGGTTCGATAGCAATTGCTGGTGCTGCCGTCAAATGGCTTCGTGACAATTTAGGCATAATTTCAGAAGCATCGCAAGTAAGCGAGTTTGCTGCCAAAGTGCCTGATACCGCTGGAATTTATTTTATCCCAGCATTTTCCGGTCTGTTTGCTCCCTATTGGCGTGACGATGTTCGTGGATGTATTGTCGGTATGACCCAATACACCAACAAATATCATATCTGTCGTGCTGCACTTGAGGCTACTGCATTTCAAACACGCGAGGTTTGTTTTTGATTGAAGTGGCATTATTGATGTAGAATTGACCATTTCCCTGTTTTTACTTGCAGATTTTGGATGCCATGAACTCTGATAGTGGTCAGGCTATTCAGCTCCTACGCGTAGATGGTGGTCTGACTAATTCAGATATATGCATGCAAATTCAAGCTGACATTGCTGGTGTTGGCGTCGACCGTCCATTGATGCGTGAAACCACTGCATTAGGGGCTGCGTTGGCTGCTGGTCTTGCTGTTGGAGTGTGGAAATCACTCGATGACTTTTCTCATGTTAATCAGTCTGACATTTTTAGGCCAGCCACTAGTTCTAGTGATCGTGAGGAGCAACTGGCCGGATAGAAAAAAGCAGTTCAGAAATTGTTTTAACTTTACAATGAATGCGTCGTATTACATAAAGAGTTTATGATTGTTTTTACTATTCTATTATAAATGCTCGACATTTCATGTCCACAAAAATTGATTTTATTGAGAATTTAAACTTGCCTTTTTGGCTGCAATATCGACCAGCAAATCCATCTCACCGCTCTCCATACACATTTGGTAAAGTAAGCCCGATTTGTCCTCCAGTAACTCGTGGGGTCTACCATATTGCGATACCTGACCCCTATCCAACACAA